GCTTGTGTCAGGAGCACAGCTGGCATCTGATAGGGCACCCTCCTGTCTGTCTAGTCCTGTGTCAGAGCATCTACAACATTACAGCATACTGCTCATGCTAAAAAGAACTTCACAGATGGAAAAAATCCTGATTTTGAGTGTGTTGAAACCTTTCTTCTCAAGCTGCAGCTTTCTTGCACCAAGACTTTGCATGTGCTGAGAGTGGCAGCACTCAGGAAGGAATGCATTGGGTCCAAACTCCAGCTAAGGGGTAGCAACAACTCTTCCTCAGCCACCTTGTGCCAAAGCAGCAGCAAGAACTGAGAGGCTGATTTATGTCAGATCTGGGCCAGTACTCTGCCAAGGTTTGATTTCAAGCTGTGAGTCTCAGTTATAATACTGCCACTTTGGCAGAGCTGGCCCACATTTGTGCCAGTGGAATTTGTGCAGAACCAGACCCTGGAATTGTTCACAGAATTTCCCAAAGTGACTGTTGTTGCCATTTCCACATGGGACATGTGGTACATGGTTACAGCTTCCCTGTATTTCTCCATGGTGGTGCCAGTCCCTTTCAGGGTTAGGAGAGCTGCCTGAATTCCAGGGACACTAAAAGTTCTTTCAACCAGTTTTGGGCTGGTCTTAAAGATAACCTTTGTTGGATTTTATTTTCCATTTGCTAGGGGAAAATGTTCTTTGCCATCACCTCATTAGGAAGAACCCAGATGGATGGCCAGAGAAGTTTAAGGGGTGATTCTTTCAGTGCCCAGAAGATATGGATGGGTGAAATCCAAGACACATGGGGTTCTTCTTTGCATGTTCCTGTTTCCTGTGGCTGCAGAGACATTTAAACTTGCTGCCTGAATCAAGAGACAAGTATTCACATCAGCAGAGGATACCTCCTTAAATGTGCATTATTCTATAATGTGTGCTCTCAGCAATAGGCATACATTTGCTATGGTTGCTTTAGTAAAAGAGCTTTTTTAGTCCAGTTGAGTGTTTAAGTCAGTAAAACCACTTGACTTATTTCTGAGAGCAAGTGATTATTGGGTTTTTGTTGGGTTTGGTTGGTTTTTCTTTTTTTTTTCCCAACCAGTTTAATGCCTTGTTTAATCCTGCAGAATTTAATTTTTCTGTTTACCAATGTTTGCTCAGTGGAGCCAGCCAGTTTCCTCTGTTAATAATCTCATTTTTTTTTCTGTTCTCCCTTGGGTCCTACTGTTTAATATAGCTTTTAAGTTGTTTTTTCTCCTCCTTTTTTCTCCCAGTGTTTTGCTCATTCTATACAATGTTTCTGTCTTGTCCTCTCCATCTCCTTTCCCCTCAGACTGCAACTAAAATTGTTGCTGAAGAGATTCTGGTAAGCAAAATTAGATTCCTAGAACTCAGAATTGTTCCCTGTCAAACCTTATCCTCATCATTCGTTTCTTTTATCTCTACCAGCTCTGCCCAGATATGAGACCTTGCTTGGCAGAGCTATTCCTAATACCCCTAATTATGAAATTAGAATCAGGCAAGGTCTCAGCTGGCCCTTTCAAAGGTGATGGGGATGAGGATGTTGACAAACAATCTCAGAAAAATTCAGTAAAGCTTCTGTGATATTTTGCTTGTCCTGGTAAGCTGGCTGCCTGTAGTAAATTTTCTGTGATGCCATGCCAAAAAGATGATGTCTTCATCAGACACCATTTCCCATTAGAAATGCTTTAAAGGCTACCAGTCCTGCTCATCCTGTGATGTCTGCTGTGATGTTGGCTGCTTTCACACAGCCCTGTGCTATGGGGAGCAAAGTGTTTCACCGAGATCATGCTGTGTATCTTTGAGTATGTCCCTGGCTTTGGGCACATTTTGCCCACAGGCAGCACTGATGCCATCTGCCTTTGCCAGGTGACAGAGAACAAGGCTGCTGGGTGGTATCTTAAATCTCAATTAATTGAATACTTGCAGGCACTCTTTTCCTTTATTTCACCCCAGTAACACGGGATATTTATCCACATGCTTTCTATCTGTCTCTTCCTGCTGGATTTTATGCTCTTAATGCCAAAATCCCCATCAGGCTGGTCTGAGCTGAGTATGAATGAAACAAACAATGCATAGATGTTCTCATGACTCTAAATATAATCTAAACTGTACAGAAAATGATGGAGGATATAAGCGGAAAACAGCCAGTGACTCAATGTAACTCAATCTGTTCAGAATCAGTGAGTAACACAAAAAGCCTCTCTTTCAGCTATCTTTCCATTCTGGTGTCTGCATGCACTTTGGAAGTCCATCTCAGAGGCTGCCTGTTGTCCCATGCACTTCAGCATCCCTGTGACACCTGGCAGCACAGCTGGCCTCACCATCACCTTGTGTACTCTCTGCTCCACATCGGCGTCCTTGTCTTTGTTCTGTCTTTGTGCTGCTCAGTGTCTGTCTCTGGTGGACACACTGCAGATTTTGCTGCCTTAGATCCCAACTTATGCCAGTGGATCCAGCCCTTGCTTGCAGATCTCTCTTGTCCAAAGCTGCAGTTTGCAGTCCATGCAGCTGTGACAGTTATTTTTAATTCTCTTGCTGCCTTATTAGACCCCAGCCCACATCACTTACCCTGTCCTATATGGGTGGCCATCCTGTTGTGAGACTTCCTGTCTGGAAAACTGATGGGTTTTAAGCATCATGTCCCATCTGCTGTTACACTCTGGTCCTGTAATTGAAATGTAGTCTGTGGTGCAAAATTCTTAAAATACATCAGAACTGCAAAAAAAACTCCTCTTTTTACTTTGTTCATCACTAATGCCATAAGAAAAATCATCCATATACTTCACAATTCAGCTTTGTTTTCCTTCTGCCTCTTGTTTTTCCATCAGCTGTTAGGGACTTGATTTGCAGTGGAAGATGGTGTTCAATAGAAGGGATACACAAATGACAGCAAACAGCTTCAACCTCTTGTACTTGGAGTATTAAGTTTTATGGCTTTTCTAATGCTGTAAAACCAACACAGGCCATTTTATTTTTAATTTTGGACATAATTCTGTTTATTTTTCTTGCAAGGTTTTATACTAAGATAAGCGTTCTCAGAGGTTTTTGTTTACTCTGGGAAAATGGCTTGGCAAAGGAAAATATTACTGTGCAAGGCCCACATGTGAAATTGCTTATTGGCTGTAATTGTAACGTGAAAGATGCCAGACTGTTAACAATCAAGAATTAAGTTTTCTCCATTTGTTTTCAAACAGGTAATTTGCTAATTATTTACCTAGGGATTGTTCCTTGCTAATGGCCTATCTGAGTGCATGGCATCCTTCTAATAATCCCGCTGTCATGATCTGTGCAGGAGAGAAATGCTGTTCTTCAGGGTGGAGGTGCAGAATGAAGGCAATGGCGCTCTCCTCTGCAGTCACCCCAGCAGTGTGTGATGGAGCAGGGCCCTGGTGTCCCAAAGGATGTAATCTGATGTTAGCAGTGTTATCTGCAGAGGTGTTTGCCCCAGCTGCAGGGCAGGGCCTGGGCATCAGTGCCTGCTGAATTGCTCTCCAGCTGGGAGCAGCCTGCTTGTGCCCACAGAGAAGGTGCAGTGGTGGGAGAGTGCAGAGTGCTGTCAGCACAGACTCAGTACAGCTGAGGCAGGGCTGTAGGATATTCTTGTTTGAGATTCAGGCTGAATGAGCCTTGCTGGCAGGGGCTCTCCTGCTTAGTCCTTCCGTGCCCTGAACTACACCCAAAAGGAGCTGTGTCCTCCAGACCAATCCTGTGCCAGCCCGACAGGGCTGTTTGAAGGGGCCTCAGAAGGGTGGTCCCAGCAAGTGTGTGGGTAGTGCTGCCCATGATGGTGGGCCCTGGAAGAAGCAAATAATGAGAACCCAGGAGGATGGCCATGGGCTGGGCAAAGATGCTGCAATTTGCCACAGAGGGGTACTAGATCATCTTGAGTTTTGCATTCCTGATTTCATTTCATTGCCCAAACTCTCTATGGAGCATTGTAAGAGGTTTTTATAAACATAAGTATAGCCTGGGGTTTTAATAATCAACCCAAGGTAGATTCTGTCCTGTGCTGGGTTTATTCCAGAGTGGCCACAACAGAGCTGTCAGGAAGCACCTGGTGGCAATGACAGTGACAGTGTGTGTGTGACCTGTAGAGCTGGGGATGCTGACAAGCACGACAGGGCTCTCAGTTCCAATTGTTCTTTTCAAACCAAGAAATTACATCCTGCAGTGTGTGGCATAGTGTGTGCAGAAGCTCACATGTGAGCAGAATCAATGCTCCCCAATGATGTGAGATAAGGGAGAGCATGGGGAAGTGGAATATCTTTATTACTTTTTTCAAGGGGAGATTCTTTTTTCACTTTTCATTTCCTCTTGCATTTCCTTTCTGTATTTGAGCTTTAACATTGGATTTTATTCTGTCTTTATAGCATTCAGGTGAAGACAAACATATTTTGTTGGGATTGTCTCTCTGGTTTTCAGGACTGAAAGTCCCAAACAATATGAAGCAGTCACAGCCATGTACACATCTGGAGTCTTTGCATCTTCTCCAAAGAGGCACTTTCCTTTATTCCTATTCACTCTCATTACTTAATTTCCTAAAGAGGCTGCAGCTCTTCAATGCCTGAGTACGTATGTCAAAATGTCTCACTCAGCTCTTCCACTATGTGGAACAGTATATCCCCTTGCCAGAGCTGAGGAAATACAATTCCTTTATTTTAGCTCAGTACTCTTTAAGAAATTGTTTTTCTTCAATTATCCTGTCAACCTGGATTTTGACAGCTCCAGAATCACTGAGTGAAGCTCCTGCATCTTTGCAAGCAACTTTTTTCCTTGAGATTTCTCTATTATCTGTAATGTCTTTCCTAGGGAGGAACTTTTATTTGGGACTTTTCTTATGTTTGCCACTGGAGGCTGGGTGTCAGCACACAATTTACAACACTGATTGTGAGGTTTTAAAATACACCTGGTTTACAGGCCCCTTTCTGAAAGGTAATGTGTGGCTTTGCAGGCTCATGGCAATCTCCACAGGTGAGCTTGTACTACCTGTCCTGTGTTAATGTAACTTCTATGGCCAAGTTTTATAAAAGGAGTCATCACTTGCATTGTCTGGAATGGCATCTTAAAGGAAGCATTAGCCCTTTGCTGGTGACACTGGGTAAGATGCATTGATTTGCTGGAAACTTGCAGACAATGTTGATGCTACTCCTTTCCTAACCACTGCTCTGAACATGTATCTCATTTTCAGGTGTAATGAACCTCTCTAAGCTTTTCCTTGTCTCATCTTCCAGTATGAACATTTTTGGCAGTTACCCATGACAGTCTGATGGGAAAGAAGAGTGTACCACTTGCTGATTATTTTTTTCCTCTTTTGTGGTGAAAAAGCACCTGTAGGGTGTTTATCACCTCGTCTCTTCTTCAGGAAAGAGAACAGACTGGCTGCAGCAGCTTCAGCACTAACACGCTGTCAGGTAAGTGGGTCTCATGGTCCTTTTAGGGACACAGCAACTGTGCCTGCCTGGCTCCACAGGTGACAACAGCTGCCCTGTCCTGCTGGGATGGCTCTTCTGCAGGTCTCATCAGCTTGCCTGAGTTTGATTCTGGGTTTAGTAGCTGTTTTGTCACTGATTTTAAGGCAGCCTCAAAACTGCAGGTGCGCTCTCCTGTTGACAACTCTCTTGCCTCCAGTTAACACCAGACACCAAACTGTGGGGAAAATTAATGGCACCTGCAAATTCTGTGCACTTAAATACTGAGATGCTTCATTTGCAAGTACAATAAGATATTTTGGTGTCTGAGGCCTGTGCCTCATGCATCTGCATATCCTAAGCATGTAAACAGCTGGAATGTGCTCTGCAGAGCTGCTGGGCTAGCAGGCAGGCAGGCTGGTGTGGCTGTGCACAGCGTGGTGGGGATGGCTCCTCAGCATGTCCAGCAGCATGCATGTGATATTGGTGATCCCTGCCAAAACAGCAGCGCCTGCTCTCCCCCTGTCCTCCAGTGCCTTTGGGAACAGCTCTCTATGGTTCTCTTCAGCCAAGGACTCAGAATCACCTTGAACCTCGCTCCAGGGTACCCTAGTCCAGTTCAGACCCTGTACCAGAGCCAGAAGGGGAACTTTAGGCCCAGGGGACCTGCCAGGCCCTTGCTGAGTCCAGAACAGCCTTGGTCACTTATGAAGAGGATCCATGTGCCCTCAGCCAAGCGTGCAATTTTCCAGAGCCCACAGGGCTGGGCTTTGGGCTGGGCTTGGCAGAAGGGCAGTGTGTGTATGGTGTGCAAGCAGTTAAATCAAGCAGGGATGTGCTTTGCACTCCCTCTCTGTTGTTTCCCTCCAGCTAATCTCAAGTCATTTTGAAAGCTCATATTTTGGTCTCAGTGTATATAGAAAACATAGCAGCTTCAAACCCTCATCCCGACAGCACAAGGAAGGCCATTGCTATGCTCTGACAGCACACATGGCTTTCTGTCATGTCCTGGGGCTCGGGTCAGCAGGCAGAGCTCTCCTACAATGCTCCCAGGCTGGCAGGAGCTCAGGCAACCCCAACACCCTCATAGCCCACCCAGTGGGATGTCACACTGGGGGAATATGGATGGAGTTTGCTCCCTGGACCTTTGTGCCCCTCAGAGACAGGCAGTGACAGCAGGAGCTTCAGCAGTGGGCTGGCCAAGGCAGCAGATTGCTGAAGCCTTGCCCACGGCATCCCCGAGATATTGCCCATGGGGCTGCTGGGGTGAGGCCCAGGGAGCCTTCCTGGGGAAATAGAAACTTTGTTCTTAGGAAACAAAAGTATATTGTAGGCACCTTAGCTGCCAGGTTGCTTTGTGGGTGGGTGGAAAGGCTCATGGTACTGGCCTGTCTCTTGGGCTCTCTGCTGCCCAGCCAGGAGCCAGAAGCCCCAGGGACACATGGAGTACAACACATGGCAAATCCTAATTTTAATTCTAACATCCTGTAGCAGGAGCAGCTGCCTGATCCCCAAGCTCCTCTGCCCTCCATCCCATAGGGGTACAGCCGAAGAAGTGCCTGCAGTTCCTCCTGCATTGGAGGCTGGCTGGCCCCTGAGCAGATCAGCCCTGTGCCTGGCCAGGAATGCCAGCTGCCCTCACCTCCCAGAGAGGGCTGAGGCTGCCACCTCCTCACGGTCCAGCTGTGGGCAGTGCTGCACAAGGCTGGCATGCACAGCTTCAGCTCATCCCTTGTGCTGGATGAGAAGGAAATGTGTTCTCAAAGCTGAGTTGCTGAGGAAACAACCAGGCTGAGCACACAGGTGGGACAGGCAGAGCTGCCGAGGGGGCGGTTGCTCCGCAGGACAGACGGACGATGTGAAGACATTAGACAGGCAGGTGAGCTGTGTTAAACAGAGCAGAACTGCCTGCAAATGCAAAAAAACAAGGTTGTCAGGGAAAGCAGGAATACAGAAGGGATAAAGAAATCGGCATTAACCTCCTCTTGGGAAGAGTGTCAGGGCAATAATCACTTGCCAGGGCTTTGATTTCTGGTGAATGTCTATGATGTAAGTGATTTGTTCATTGCTGGTGGAAGATTTTGCTGGGGGTAAAGAGACCAGAGGAAGCAGCCCACACTCATTGGCTCTCTCCAGATAAGGAATTGTTTGATAATGTGGCATCTCTGCTTTCTGAGCGAGGAGTGCTCATGGACACTGCACAGGCAATTCAGTCCAGCTGGCAGCATGCAGGGTTCTTTATTACTGTTTCTTATGATTATTGTAATTTTTGTTATTATGATTACTGTTATTTGTTATGACAGACACCTGCCAAGACACACATGCCATTTTTTCTGCCTTCCTAAACCAGTACCTAGGTTGTTAGCTGTGCATCTGTGGGCACATATTTGAGCAAGCCACAGTTTCCCTGCCAGGGTGCCAGAGTGGGGCCTTCAGAGGGGATTTCTCAGAATGAACTGAGCCAGCTGTGTTGTGGGGTGTGTGTGTGCACATCCATAAAACGGACTGTCATTTTTACCTCTCTTGCCCTTTCCTCCATAAGAAAATGTCCAGATCACATAAAATTAAGCTTAAATACATGGAGAAATGTGTTTCTCCATACATTTTTATATGCCCAAGGCTTGGTGTCTCACCGGGCTGCAGGCTGTGTTCTTTTGAGTCAAATTCTTGACATGTCGTGGGAAAGCCACAACAAAAAAGATTTTAAACTGGTGATGTTTTCAGGTGCAGAAAAGCTGACTAAGACCATCTGGCATTCTCTGTATGGACCTCTGCCCTGGAGCATCTAATGCGATTTGGGAATCAGGTGCCCAATGTTATTCCTAGAGAGAGTCAGAGCCAACCCTGCTGCAACAGGTGGGCAGCCAAGGCACAGGAAGGAGCATTGCTGGCAAAGCTTTTGCAGCCTCTGATTTACAGTTTATTCTGTTTTTTTCTGGCAGAAGAGGTGGGTGATGTCTGGACTCATTTGGTTGACCAGGTGGAAGGAGCCAGCCACGGTGTCGGCAGTGCCTGTGGTCCGTGTGCCAGCACAGCACAGCACAGCACCCTGCTGGCCTGGCCATCGGCCCTCCCTGAGCCTTTCCAGGTGCAGGTGGCACCAGCTCTGAAACACAGCAGGCACGAAGGCAGGGGCACTGTGAGACCACGAAAGCCTGGGTCGTTGATGAGGCTGTTAGCACTCTTTCAGTCCTTTAACATCCAAGTCCTTACGAGAAGACACTGGCTTAATCTCAGCTCAACTGGAAAAATGCCGATGACTGGAAATGTCATCAGCTGCCTGTGGGCCAGGCTGGCCCTGAGCTGATAAGGAGCAATACAAAATAAAAATGTCAACACAAAACTGGAGAAACACAGAGGGTGGTTGCAGCTCTTCTCCATCCTGTAGGAAGCAGGGCCCCTCTGTCACCAGTCCTAGGAGCTGAACTTTCCCTAAAGCCTCAGTGACCAACTCCGCTCTTCCTTACAAAAGGGAAAGGTGGCTGCTCTCAATGCTGCAGAGAAAAAACTGAGCTCTTGCCCCATTGACTAAATAAAGAGGGTAAGTTAACTTCTGTTGCTTTCTTTATTGTTTTTAGGGCAAATGTCACGATTTTCTGTGCTGCAACCTTGTTTTCTTTAAGCACTGGTACAGGGTGGGGGAAGGAGACCCAGCCAAAAGGAGGGCTGATTCCCCTCCCTCTCATCTGGAGTATGAGCTTTGAACACCACCTGGACACTAGGTTTGGGCAGCAGCTTCTCTCACCCCTTGCCAAGTGTGCTCTCAGGACTCCACAGGAACACCAAATACTGCAACCTTTGGGCAAAAGTAAAGCTAGAAGTGACTATCTAACTGTCTTTCTCCGGCAGGAGGGATGTGTTAATTCCTCATGGAGAATGGCATGCAAAAGCTCAGACCTTGTGTCTTCTGGAGCAAAGCAGTATCTGAAAATGTCACCTAGGCCTTGAATCTGTCTGCATCCCTTCTCTAAGTTTACAGAAAAAATAAAATCTAAGAAGTCTAGGGACTATACATGAACAGCCAGCAGATTATAAATAACTTACTCATAAAAACAACCTGTGAACATTTCCGTGAGTGTTTCAGTGAGAAATCTTTGAGAGAAAGAGCCAGAGAGAAGAGCGATTTAGAAAGCCTGTAGCTGGTATCAGTGCTGGCTTTATGTCACTCAAGCACTGGGGTTTAGAAAGAAGGAGAAGATGCAAACATTCCTCACCCCACTGAACTCCTTGGCTAAACTCTGACCCTGGGATGTGCTTGCTCTGCAGCAGGTACAGCAGCCATCCGGGTTAATGTTATCACACCTCGCAACAGCAGCCCCGGTGCCAGCTCTGCCCGAAGGCCCAGGGGATGCAGTGTTGCATCATGTGCGTGTGCCCGGGGTGATGTTTGTGGATGGTCCTTTAGGAGCCATTCCTTCTGGGGCCGCCTGTGCGGGCACAGCCCCTTGCCACCGCAAACCACTCGGCCCAGCCAGCTCCTCGCTCATTCGGCACCATGGGCTCTCTTCTCCTGTCATTACGGGCTCATCTTAGAGAGTAACCCCCCGAAACATCTGCTGGCTCTGGTCTCCTCTGCACGGACACGGGCCCTGTGGGCAGCCGAGCGGCGGCGGGGGCTCTGGGCGAGGGCTGGCAGCCCCCGGGAGCAGCGGTGTCCCCGGCAGTGCGGGGCTCTACGGACGGGCCCGGCCCGGCCCTGCCGGCCCCGCTAGATGGAGCTCGGGGCTCACGCACCGAACGGGCCCCGCGCTGGGCCCGCCGTGCCTGGCCGTGCCAGCCCCAGAGCCTGCGGGGCCCCGCCGGTGCCAGCCCCGGAGCCTGCCGTGCCCGCCCGTGCCAGCCCCAGAGCCCTCGGGGCCCCGCCGGTGGCAGTCCCAGAGCTCGAGGGGCCCGGCCGGTGGCAGCCCCAGAGCCCTCGGGGCCCTGCCGATGCCTGGGCTGCGCCCTGCGCTCTCCGGCTGAGGCCGGACAGTCCCTGCGCTGGCGAGCTGGAAATGTCAGTGTGGGGCTCGGGGGAGGCAGCCATGGGGGCGTGGGCAGAAGACGGGTGTTGGGACAGCAGGGGGAAGGATGCGGCGCTGAAGGTCAGCGTGACAAATGTCATGCTCGCTGTCAGGCACCGCCACGTGCCTTTGAAGCGCTGTGGCAGCGATGGCTTTAAGCAGAGATGCGTCGGCGCAGGGAAAGGTGGCCTGGCAGGCACTGAGCTCCTGATGTGCAGATGTAGGAGAGAAGAAAAAAGCTTTGCTGAAACGCTTGCTTTTTGAATGGATAATTTAATCAGTGACACTAAGTCCTTCCAATTATTTCTTTCCATGGGTACTTCCTATTTATTAATTTACTTCATATAAATCCATCAAGCAGTTGCCACACAGCACGTAAACAAAAGCACCCCAGAGTTTTGCTGGGAAGGCATAAAAGTAATCGAAGAGGTTAATTATCACCGTTAATTAATTGCTTAACAGATTTGGCTGTGCACAGCATCTCCCGGTGCCCTCGGGAAGCCAGGGCCATGTGGCTGGGGTGATGGCAGCAGCAGGGGCACCAGGCAGGGTGCCACCGGCAGGGCTCTCTTGGAGGAATGGTGGTCGGGTATCAGCGTATCCAGTCTGGGACAAGGAGGCTTTGTGGAAGCCTCAGGACACCAAGGGTGTGTCCATCAGCATATTTTCTTACCTTCCAGAGTGATTTGCTTAATCAGCTTTGGCTTCCTGCTCAATTAAGCAGCTCCTTTGGTGGGGCAATGGGAATGGAGCGGTTGCCAGGGGTTGCCTTGGGAGAGAAGAAGGTTCAGAGGTTGGAAATCTCCTTCTGAAGGGAGCTATGAAGGAAGTTTAAAGTAATTTAGCATAACAAAGGAAAGGTTAAGAGGTGACTGGATCATCATCTCTAAGTACTTATTTAGAAATAAGCCTTCTGGGAGCAGAGTGCCTTTAATTTGGAGGACAAAAGCATAACAATATACAATGCCCGAAAGATGAAGACAGATGAAAACGGGGTGTCTCCCTTGTTAATGCTTAAGATTCCCTACTAATGTATTTGGAAGGATGGAAGAATTTCCATCTTTCAATATCTTCAAATCCAGACTGAAGATCTCTCTAAGAGACAAGCCTGGGGTCAGACAGAAATTATGGGCTTGTGTTTCTGTGGCCTGTGTCTTGCAGGAGTTCACATGAAATGATTTTATCTGATCCTTTAGCCTTCAGATCTATACATCTCCCTGCAATAACTAACACTGCCACAAATGTGCTAATTCCATCTGGTTGTTTGCAGATGACCATAACATGACACATTTTGTGTCTGCCTCTCCCCAATGTGGTTCTGATGGACATCCAGGCCCTCTGTGCCACTGCAGACTGCAAAGCCGCCTGTGAGCCCCCTTTCCCTGAAATGAATTTCAGTGATGCAGCATTTTGCTGTACTGGTTTTCTGTCCAGGGATGGTTGGAAACTTGTTGCTGCACAGTCTGGTTAAAACATGTTTTGTGGTCCAGGCTCTGTGGTCCAGTCTACTGAGGACTACCGAGTTATGCAGTATCCCATCATCTGCAGAGGCCGTATGACTTTATTTCTGCTGAGCCCTGGCTACTCTGAAAAGTGACTGTCACTGAAATAGTGGGAACAAAACCTGCTTTTACAGAAAATGTTACAGTTTGGGAGAAGGAGTCCTCTTCCCCCGAAAAAGTTCAGGTTTCTGCTGCTTAAGTCTGAATTTGCCTGATGAGGACATGAAAAAGCTCTTGGCTTCCAAATCCACCTGATTTAAGACAGCTGGCTGCATGGTTTGAATTTCTTCTCCTCGGAGTCCTTGAGTTGCTCAGCTGAGCGTTGTGTTAATGCTGGGCTTTGAATTTGCTATTGCTCCCTGAGTGGCTATGCTCTGCTGCCCAACCGTGCGGTAGTTCCTCGGCTGATGTAAATCAGTTTAGCTCCACTGTCTTTGCACTCTGTCACATCCCCCAGCTTACAGCGTCTCCCACAGCCTGGCGCCCAAGGCAGCCACCGCAGCAACCTCACTTGCCTTGCCCCCTGGGGCCGTGCAAAGCAAGGTGAGGTTTAGCTGGAGCTCCAGTTAAAGCTCAGTTGGCTGAGGCAGAATTTCAGTGAAGCGGTGCTGTTGTAATCTTGGTCCCACTCTTTGGAACGAGGGGGTGCAGTGTTGCTCTCTGTGACCCCCCCGGTGCTGTGAGCAATACAAAGGAAGGCAGTGTCCCTGCACTAGGACCTTGACTTCAGCAGGCTTCCTGGTGGATTCAAACTTCCAGCATGACTCAGGGTATTGCAGTGAATCTTTAAGATAACATCTTTTGCTTGCCAACATGTAGGCTGGCTGCCAAAGGTGGGGGAGGAGATCTGTTATGAGTCTTTTGTATGTGCTCATAGTAAATAGATACATGCCAAATTGATTACACTTGCCTTTCTATTTCTCCACTAGGAATTGAAGGAAAGGAAGAAGTAGTCCCCTGTGGTCTGCCCCAAACCACTGCCTCACACACTTGGTTTCTCAGGTGCCTGTAGCTGCCCACTGCTGCTGCTGCTGCAGCCAGCACACACCCCAGAAACAATGGCATTGGGATCCAGATTTTGCAGCATGGGTTGAGATCCCTGACTGCTGGGCAGGATGCTCTCCCACTCCATGTTGGGATGCTCTCCCACTCCCCAGCATGCTGCCAGGTAAGAGTGTGCTGGGGTCCCGGGTGACAGGTGAGGGGAACCAGCACTCAGCAAGGCCAAGTGACATGGGGTGCTGCTGGCTGGGGTCCGAGCTGCCCATGGCAGGGACACCCTACCTGGCTCAGCCCCCATTCTGCAGAGCTGAACAGCATGCTGGGCCAGCTCAGCCCCACCTTGTGCCCTTGGTCCTTGCCTACTTGCAAAACCCCAGGACAGCATCAGTTTTTGATCTAGTCTCTCTCACTGCCAAACCATTAATTTTTCCAGTTTAAATGCTTAATACAATGGCCCTGTTTTGAAGTCTGCCAGCTGAGCTGCCTCTGAGCTGCTTAGGACTATCATTTCCAACTGTTCTCTGGCAAGATGATTTCTCAAATGATTTAAAAAAAATAATCAAAGCTCTAAGCACATCTGTGGCTGCCTATGTCTCTGGGAGCAGGGAAGATTAGCTCAGAGGCCATCAGGTGCTTTCTGAAATGGAAGTCTTCTCCTGCAGACAACACAGCTCCTGGCGGTGGAAAGACCAGCCACTAATGTGGCTCTTGCTGAGATTTCTGGCACCAATGTTTTGTGGCTGAGTGAAAAGAGCAGCCTAAACCCACCTGATTTAGGCTGCTATCCTAAATCAGCTGTGGGTTCTCTTCACACATACCATCCAGCTGTGCTGATGTATTGGCAGGCTGACCTGGTAAGGAGATCTATAGTGTGCGTGGTTTTACTTAAATGCTTTTCTATTCCTATTAGTTCTTCCTCAGACTGCAGTATAGGTCCTTCACCCTTCCCTAGAACAGCTGGCAGAGGTAGGCAGCAACACAAACTTT